GCATGGAGGTTAATGACAGTCTATTCACCACCTCCTCTCCTTCCTAAGTGCCAATCTCAGTCTCATTGTTCTCGATCTTTCTTTAACGTATATACTAATGTGAAACATGGTGCTCTATTCAGCATCAGACAAGCGCAGCCTACAGTTCATTTCCAGACTCTTCGTTTAGCCTCAATTGATTCATATCTTGGCGTCTGAGAGTTTGTACTGCATCCCTACAGGGTCTAGAAGATATTGAATTGGTCGCAAGGTGGAAGGGAGTATTTAATGGATTTCTTTGTCCTCTGTATTTTTACCTTCGAAAGACCTTCAGAGTTTCATTTCATTTCATTCTCAGAGTGTCACTGAGGCCTTGATTGTCAAACTACATAACTGAAGATTGCGTGACTGTAGTAGTGTTTAAACAGGAGTTTGGTAAGGTGTGATCCCATGCTGGGAGTCTCCTGCCGGAGCGACTGGAATCTCCCATCACCACAATGCCCTTCAGCACACTGGATCGCTGTAGAGGGAATTTCCCTGCAGTTAGTGTACGGCACGGCACTTTAGGGAAAAGACGTGATCCAGTTAGGAGAATTTGGGTAAATGCAAAGTATTTCATATAAAAGTGAGATGTAGAAATGTTTCAGTTCATCATAATAAGATCCGAAAAACATTTCCTATAAAGCAAAATGTACATCATTAGTGTATTATAAAGAGTTATATTTCACCAAAAATTTATATTTTGACATTATTTATTCTCTTTCATGTCATTCCAGCCCTGTGTTATTATCTTTCTTCTGTGCGGCTCAGAACTCTGATACTATACAAATAAAACAAACTTTGCACTTTTCCCATTCAATGCTAAAATCTGAGTTTAAAGTACCATATTTGAGAATGTTCTATCCTTTATATTAGTGGAAACAAGAAAATCTGATCATCTGTATGGAGACACGTGCCCAAGTGTGACTAATTAACTTACGTTCACGTCATTTTACACTATGCTGTTCAAAAATGTGGGGTTAGTAAGATTTTTATTTTTTTTT